TCTGGCATTGAAGCACGCAAGTCTTAAAGCTGTCAAGTTACAAGATCCTTGCATCCCTAACCCTTTAGAAAAAAAAACCCCAGGGGTGTTCAAACTTGACAGCTTTAAGACTTGTGGACTTCAACTCCCAAAATTCCTCCTCCAATCATGTTGGCTCAGGAACTCTGGCATTGAAGCACGCAAGTCTTAAAGCTGTCAAGTTACAAGATCCTTGCATCCCTAACCCTTTAGAAAAAAAAACCCCAGGGGTGTTCAAACTTGACAGCTTTAAGACCTGTGGACTTCAACTCCCAGAATTCCTCCTCCAATCATGTTGGCTCAGGAACTCTGGCATTGAAGCACGCAAGTCTTAAAGCTGTCAAGTTACAAGACCCTTGCACCCTAACCCTTTAGAAAAAAAAACCCCAGGGGTGTTCAAACTTGACAGCTTTAAGACTTGTGGACTTCAACTCCCAGAATTCCTCCTCCAATCATGTTGGCTCAGGAACTCTGGCATTGAAGCGCGCAAGTCTTAAAGCTGTCAAATTACAAGACCCTTGAACCCCTAACCTTTTAGAAAAAAACTCCCAGGGGTGTTCAAACTTGACAGCTTTAAGACTTGTGGACTTCAATTCCCAAAATTCCTCCTCTCGCTCTTCATCTTGGGGGGGGGGAGCTGGAATCAGTTCTAAATGGCACTGTAGATTTGTGGAACTTCTTCTACAGAAGAGGTTAGAACTGGCAGGAATCCACCCCTGGATCACATGCTTCAAGATGTTGGGTGAAGAAGAAAAAGAGAGCAAGATGCTGAAAGCCCCTGGTTCTATGCCCTCTCTGGCCTTTGATCTTGATCTTGTATTCTGATTGGTTGTCAGACTCCCGTGGGACCATGCAGGGGCAACTCTGTAGGCTGTGCTTTGGGTCCAGGTTTCGATGCCTTGCTGGCTGATGTAATTTTCTCTGGTGCTTTGTGGCAAGTTTCTGTGGAGGGTTAATCCTACCTTTGTTATGTAGAATAGACTGGCTCAGGCTTTTAATGCTCCATTGACAAAGGTGGGGGCGGCTGAGTTTCTGCCTCGCTTGAGTTTCTACTTCCCTTTTTAGGGGAAATATTCTGCCTTTTTAATATATCCTAAAATATTTCATTTCTCTAGGAGAGGGGTGGGTTTTAACTTCCAACACCCCCTTAATGGGATGGTCTGCAAAATGAAAATAACAAACAGCAGTTCCAATGAGGGCTCAAGGCTAGCCTCCTAACTTAATCAGGGTAACGTTATTAGGGTTAATAACTCAATTGTGAAGTCCACCCAACTTTAAAAGTTGCACGTCATTGGTGGGCTGTATTCAAGGTTAAAGTGGTAAAGATGCTTCTGCTTTCTCATTGGGGGGTGGGGTCTCACAGGGTCTTTTGGCAGCTCTTGCATCTACAGCAGGAATGCCTTTGTCCTGTTTGGATGCAAATACAGCATACCAATACGGCGATAAATCTGACTAAAGAATAGAATGCATAATAGCAGAATTGGCAGGGGTCTTGGAGGTCTTCTAGTCCAACCCCCTGCTCAAGCAGGAGGCCCTATGCAATTCTGGATAAATGACTGTCCTGTCATTTCTTAAACACCTTCAGTGATGGAGCACTCATAACTTCTGGAGGCAAGCCGTTCCACTGATTAATTGTTTTCAATTTCAGGAAATTTCTCCTTTGTTCTAAGTTAAATATTTATTTGATAATCGTTCATCCATTACTTCTTGTCCTGCCATCAGGCACTTTGGAGAAGAGGTAGATACACACACACACACACACACACACACACACACACACACACACACACTTTCGCTGTGACAGCCCCTCAAATATTGGAAGACTGCTATCATGTCACCCCTAGTCCTTGTCTTCATTAGATTAAACATACCCAGTTTTTGCAATCAGTCATGCTATGTTTTAGCCTCCAGTCTCCTAATCATCTTTGTTGCACTTTTTTTTCTGGAGTCTCAACATCTTTTTTGTATCATGGTGACCAAAACTGGACTATTGTGTGGCCTTGCCAAAGCAATATAAAATTGTGTTAGCATAAGATTATTCACTCCTTTTGAATTCAATTTATACTTGTACAAAGAAACTGGAGGCTAAAGTGAATATGGAGATTGTATCTCAAATTTACATTGGGGGAAATATGAGATCTTCATTTAGTTCCTCGGGACATCAAGCCAGCTTGGAAGAAAATATTTAAAACAGAGGTGTGTTAATCCTAGGAGAACTATCTTATTTTTTTTTAAAGACATAAATCTATGGTATTTCTTAGCCTTCATTGTCTGAATCCCTGGACATGTTGGGGCTGTTGGAAGAAATGTCCTTCTAGATTCAGTTACAAGTGGGAGGGGGGGAGACACTGGAAACATGGAGGCTGCTTGAAAATATGGTTTTAATGGTGGACAGGACCACATGGTTTGAGATCCTGGGGGAAAATGTGATCACATGCTTCCAGATGTTGTGCGAAGAAAAAAAAGGGTGACATGTTGAAACCCCCTGGTTTTATGCCCTCTCTAGCCTTTGATCTTGATCTTGTATTCCCTGAATTGTGAGCCGCCCTGAGTCCCCTCAGGGAAAAGGGCGGCATACAAATAAAGTAAATTGAATTGAATTCTGATTGGTTGTCGGACTCCCACAGGGCCATGCAGGGGCAACTCTGTAGGCTGTGCATTGAGTCCAAGTTTCGATGCCTTGCTGGCTGATGTAATTTTACCTGGTGCTTTGTGATGAGTTTCTGTGGAGGGTTAATCCTACCTTTGTTATGTAGAATAGACTGGCTCAGGCTTTTAATGCTCCATTGACAAAGGTGGGGGTAGCTGAGTTTCTGCCTCCCTTGAGTTTCTATTTCTCTTTTTAGGGGAAATATTCTGCCTTTTTAATATTTCCTAGGATATTTCATTCTTCTAGGAGAGGGGCGGGTGTTAACTTCCTACAGGACAAAGCAAAGATGTGTGTCAGAAAGAGGTCAGGAAGCCGAATGGAGGTTTGGAAAGAGTGAGGCAGGTGATTATGACTTGTGTAATAAACAAGGCTGTCTTCCAAATTCTGGAAGGAAATGGGAGTTAAGTTAAGTTAAGCCAATCCCTTTTGCTGCTCATACCTAGCCCCAATCATGACATTAGCTGAAGGTAGCGTGCTATATGGGGGACACTAAAATTACTCCAGTCATCAGTGATTAGGGAATGAAGTTAAGCACCAAGTGCCCTCAGAGAGATACACCTCTACCTAATCCTCTCTCTGCTTATTCCATTGTGATTGCTAATGCTTCTTATTTAAGAATCAGCCTCTTTTGGTTTTGGCGGTGTTAAAACTGCCCTGCTGGTTAGACAGAACATGGAAAGGGGGTTTGTTTTTGTTTGTATTGTGCTGTAGTGGCCTCTGCTGGTCACCTCAGCTATTGCAGCCTTTCAGCAGATTTAAAAGAAGAGAAGAGCCCTTCCTAAGTTAGAATCCCAATTTTCCCACACTGCTTCAACCCAAGAATTAAAAAAAACCCACATAATTGGCAGGAAGGATTGACAGGTTAAGCTTCAGTCGCCTTGAGTGGCACACATTCAAATGGAATTGTGAACTATAAAAAAAAAAAAAACCCTCCACCATTTCTGCATTGATCAGGAAAAGAAAAGAATAAATCAAAATACAGGAAGTCCTTTAACTTACGACCACAACTGGAAACAGAACTTCTGTTACTAAGCAAGGCATTTATTAAGCGAGTCGTGCCTAATTTTAAGAAGTTTTTGCCACGGTGGTTAAGCGAATCCAGCTTCAGCCCTTGACTTTGCTTCTCAGAAGCTGGCTGGGTAAATTGCAAATGGCAATTTGCAAATATGGCCCCAAAATTTTGAATACATGACCCTGTGGAGGATGAAAAGGCCCAGAAGAATGAGTTCAGACATTCCAAGTTCATCCCATTACCATTTTGTGTTTGTGCCACCATAAGCACCGTGGGGAAATGGTATTATGTTCTAAATATGACCAGCTAGGTGACCTACAAAAGCCATAAGTGTGAGGACCAGCTGTAAGTCAGGATTTTCAAAAGTCATAGGTCTGAGGACCAGCTGTAAGTCTGGTTTTTCAGTGCCAAGGTAACTTTGGTCTCTGAATGAACGATTGTCAAGTCAAGGATTATCTGTAAAGCACTCTTTCATCACCACTTTCTCTCTCCTTCCTTCCCAGGGCCTCCCATCATCTCCAGCACACAGACCCAGCACGCTCTCCATGGAGAAAAGGGCCAGATCAAATGCTTCATCCGCAGCACGCCTCCACCAGACCGAATCGTGAGTTTGGGTCCTCCACAAGCTGTGAATGACATGGGGCATAGCATTAGCAATAGCAGTTAGATTTATATACCGCTTCACGGTGCTTTTACAGTCCTCTCTAAGGGGTTTTGTAGTAGCATCATTCATATATTTGTAGACAAAATGCAAACTTTGGATCAAGATCCAAGATCTAGAGCCGAGGTGGCGTAGTGGTTAAATGCAGCACTGCAGGCTACTTCAGCTGACTGCAGTTCTGCAGTTCGGCTGTTCAAATCTCACCGGCTCAGGGTTGACTCAGCCTCCCATCCTTCCGAGGTGGGTAAAATGAGAACCTGGATTGTTGTTGGGGGCAATATGCTGACTCTGTAAACCGCTTAGAGAGGGCTGAAAGCCCTATGAAGCGGTATATAAGTCTAACTGCTATTGCTATTGCTAAGATGGCATTTTTCTTTTACGAATCTTGCTGACCTAAGGCTTTATCTGTTGATAGCCATAGCACTTAGACTGATATGCTTTACAGCCCTATCTAAGTGGTTTACAGAGTCAGCCTCTTGCCCCCAACAAACTGAGTCCTCATTTGACCCACCTCAGAAGGATGGAAGGCTGAGTCAACCCTGAGCCGGTGAGATTTGAACAGCCGAACTGCAGAACTGCAGTCAGCTGAAGTAGCCTGCAGTGCTGCATTTAACCACTGCGCCACCTCAGAAGGATGGAAGGCTGAGTCAACCTTGAGCTGGTGAGATTCAAACTACCAAATTGCAGGCAGCCGGCAGTCAGCAGAAGTAGCCTGCAGTACTGCACTCTAACCACTGCACCAGCGCAGCTCGTCACTTAACAACCATGTTACCAACGTAACAACAGCAATGACTCACTTTGCAATGGTGACAAAGCAAGGTCATTAAATGGGGCAAAACTCATCAAAAAGCTGTCTCACTTAGCAAGGTAGCTTTTTGGGCTCAATTGTGGTCGTAAGTTGAGGACCATACATATATACGCATACATATGGTTTGGCCATTACTGCAGATCTCCTCCAAGGTCCCTTCCAACTCTGTTGTTACGCAGTGAGGATAGCAGCTAACAAAAGCCTGAGGGATTATAATTGTTTTTCATCTGCAGGCCTGGTCATGGAAAGAAAATGTCTTGGAGTCCGGAACTTCGGGGCGATACACAGTAGAAACCGTCAGCACCGATGAAGGTGTCATCTCCACCTTAACCATCAGCAACATCGTGCGGGCGGACTTCCAGACCATTTACAACTGCACCGCCTGGAACAGCTTTGGCTCAGACACCGAGATCATACGCTTGAAAGAACAAGGTGGGGACGGCTTCCGCGGCATTTCGAAACCGGAAAGGGAGTCTGGGAGTCACTTGGGTGGAATGGAGAGGAGGCTTTTCCCGCCGAACGCAAGAGAGGCAGGATTTGAATAGGAATGAAATTTTTAAAAAACGCAAGGTTTTGGCATACCTGGGGTCCAGGGTTCCAGGTGGGAGAAATGTTAAAAGGCCATGTTTTAAGGTACAGGTGTTCACAAAGAACCAAAAAGGATGGAGGAGCAGTTTCAAAGGCTGGCAAGTCCCTTCATCTTAGGAAAACGTGACGAAGAAGATCAGAAGTCCGACTGATGAAACGGAACAATAATCTGATTAAGAGCAGTGAAAGGAAAAAGCCTTAGCTTGTGCCTGTATTATTTAATGATGATCTGGAAGTGTAAATTGATTAATTACTTCCGGCTTATCCTAAATCAAACTGATTCCTGCTGAGCATTAACCAAGATTGAGAGGACTTAGAATATCTTAGATGCACCGAACAATGAGTTAATCCATATATTGCACAATTCATAATTTGTATTTTTTTCAAATTTCTCTAACGTGGGCATTCCTTTGTTGAGATTTCCGTTTTGTTTTGATCAAACAATCTTTGGTTGATCCAAAGGAAACCATGGGATTAATGTCTATAGCCAATCAGATTTAGGGGAACTCTTATATATGATGTGGTGTAGGGTTTCCTGCCTAAGCAGGGGGTTGGACTAGAAGACCTCCAAGATCCCTTCCAACTCTGTTATTCTATTCTATTCTATATAAAGAAAAATTATGTTGCACCTGGACTTACTGCTAATCTTTGGACCATTGACAAAATATGACATGCTTCTACCCTTGTTTGTGGTCACTTCTTCTTTCCCATCTCATTTAATATGTAAATTAAATTAGATGAAGCTAGGGGCTTTAATTTTTTTACTCTTTGGCCACCCATTTCTTTCTGTTCTGCCTTGGCTCCTGCAGAGAATACAAACCCTGATCAAACAATGAAACTCAGGGGTGGCTTTTAACTTCTTGTCCTTACGGTGCACTAACATGATTTACATATAAATTGAATTCAGGCAAAATTGTTTTAAGCAAAGCTATACGTTTCAGTGACATGCGCCAAGTGAGAAGAAATGTTTCTTCAGAATCTGAATACCGATGGATGAGTTCAGAAAGTTCCAGTTCATCCCATTAGGACTCTGTGTTTGTGTCAACCTAAACACGGAAGAAAAATGGGAGTATGTACTAAATGTGGCCAGTGAGTTGGCCTACAAAATGATCTAGTTCTGCTCCAAGAGAGAAAACTTTTGAGAAGGGGAAATCCAAAGAGTTGAAGTTGTGTTCAGTAGAAGTTAAGAATGGAGTCCCTATCTTACCACACTAAAATGCGGGTGTGAAAAAGCAGTAGAAACACAATGAAGTCAAAGTTTATAGGGTTTATTAGCAAAGCTGCAGTGGAATGTAGTTGGGAGCCCCGGGGGGGGGGGGGGGGGGGGAAGCGCTCTTTCCCAGAGGGCAAAGAGACAGAGGGACTTGGAATGCCTGGCAGGCAAGAAGGGAGCAAGGTCGAACCCTCCCTAACAATCAAAGATTACTCTATAGTGATGGCAGATAATTGCTTTACTCTGGCAAGATTTTGTCTGTAGGCGAACAACAATAAAGGAACTACTCATAAGTAACTCTGCATGTCACTCTTGGTTCTTTAGGCTAGACATTAATCTTGCTAGACTAAAG